CCAGGTCAGAGCCGCCGCCTGGTCCAGCAGCCCCCAGTTGCCCCTCACCGCGCCGGCCCCTTCAGAGAGAGGAGAGCCTTTTACCTTTTGTGATTTTGCAGCTGGAACTTCATTACCCTGGTGTCGTCCAGGCCAGGCACCTGGTGCCTCTGGGGGACCTGACTTCTGTCCCCACAGGTCGGGACTTGGTCACCGTGAGGCCGATGGGAAGAGCATGGGCTCTGGCCTCAGAGCCGTCCGACGCCGCTGGGCTCAGGAATCAGCAGTGCCCACCAATGCCAGCAACTCACCAGCGCTCAGGAAGCCGAAGACGCCCACTCGGTAGCCAGCAGTGACCACGATGAGGTGGCCAGTAGCCGCCAGGAAGGAGCCGTCCAGGACGAGGCTCCCGTCGTCGGCCCCGGCCTCCATGTTGTGGAAGAACAGCAGTACGGACGCGTTGGGGGCCTGTGGGATGGGAGATATATCATCAATATATCAATGATCATTATGATATATTGATGATTATGATATATTTTCCCCACTGGAGCCTGGTGAGGGCTCCTCTCCCAAGAAGGTGCCAGATTCTGAACCTGCACAAACTCTCCCCGTCAACTCTGCCCTGTAGACCCACGCAGCCCCATGAGATGGGTGGAAATGTGTCCCCCAGAATTCACATGTTGAAGCCCTCACCCCTAGATCTCAGAAGGTGACTATTTGTAGATGGGTTCTGTAAAGAGGTAATCAGCCAGCCTGGCCGGTGTGGCTCAGTGGCTGAGCATCGACCTATGAACCAGGAGGTCACAGTTTGATTCCTGGTCACAGTGAGGGCACATGCCCGGGTTGCGGGCTTGGTCCACAGTGCTGGGCTAATCAATGATTCTCATCACTGATGTTTCTATCATTCTCTCTCCCTCTCCTTTCCTCTCTGAAATCAATAAAAAGGGGTAATTAGCCAGTGCACCTTCATCCAATATGACTGGTGTCCTTACAAAAAGAGGACATTAGGACACACACATCCACCAAGACAAGACCACATGGACACACAGAGGGGAGATGACCATCTACATGCCAAGGAGAGCGGCCTCCAAGGGAACATACCCTGCCGACACCTTGATCTTGGACTCCAGGTCTTTACAATCATGAGATGATAAATTTCTGTTGTTTAAGCCTCCACATTTGTGGTACTTTTATCAGAGCAACCCAAGCAAACTAATAAACCCCATTTCACAGGTTAGGAAACTGAGGGTCACAAATAAATGAAGACACTTTGCTCACAGTGCAAAGTGAGCACCTGGCCCCAATGGCAGCTGGTGGCGGACTTGGAGCCATGCAGTCACTCAACACCCCAGTTCTGGCCACTAGTTTACTCCCGAAGAATGTTCTGGGTCCTTGGTGAGCCCTTTCCACGCGGCCATGCTAACTGGAACCCCATCTTGGTGATGCAGAGCTTAACTCAGACAGCCAGGCACTGTGTGCCCAGGATTTTATTCATTCAGTCCTCACCCAGCTCTGTGAGGTGGCATGTCATTATTATTCCCATTTTACAGATAGGGCAGTAGAGGCTTGGAGGTGTTAGGTGGCTTGTCTAAGGTTACACAGCAGCTACAAGGCAGCAGAACTGGGCTTTGAACTTAAGCTGACCCTTTTATATGAGCCTACAATGCTTCACCTTGGGGGTCTGACACCCCACCCCAGGCCAGGAGATAGGCCAGGCTGCGGGGGGCCCATGCCATCCAGGTCTTGCCTCCCTCTGCTGTGATTCCTCACTCCCTGTGCCACGGGCTCCGACATGCAGATGGCCTCCTCACCGCCAGCAAGCCCTGTTTGGTGGCCTTGTTACAGAGTTCACTCAGACCAGCCGGCTGCCATCACACCTCCAAAGTGCAGCTGGCTCCCATGGCTAGTGGGCTAGGGAACCAGGAAGTGGTGACATGGTCACATGTGCCAGGAGATGAGTCAACACGGGCCACCAGGAACTCATGTTTCCCAAAGTTCCTCAGTTCCTTTTTTTCTCGCATGCTCTGGCCTTTGCTCCAAAATAGGAAGCTCCAAGACTGAACCCCAGGTTCAGAGCCAGCACTCAGGCGAACGCGGGCTTCCAACCGAGGCATAACCAGAGTCAGGGTCAGAGCCGCGCTCCCCCTCCAGCGCGGCCTGAGACCCGCGTTTCCACGGACGGCTCCGAAGAGATGGCCGAGGGGTCCCTCCAGAGGTCCTCCCGAGAGAGGTCATTTCCTCGTGGGCACACTAACTTGGATGTGGGTTCTCCTTCCCCATCCTGTGCCCCCTCAACCCTTCATCTCTGGCCCTGCCCCACCTGTGTGGCTCACACCCTCGCTCCTTCACGGCCTGCTGGGAGGGCACCACTTGGCCACCACCTCACACCCCCTGTCACTTGCCGCTTCCTCCTGTGCTGTATTTTGCTTCCATATTTATTTGTCGTTCAGTTGCTGTTTAATATTTCTTTGCTTATTTATTTCTGCCCCTTCCCACTAAAGTATAGGGTGTCCCAAAATTCATGCAAGGTTTGCAATTCAATTCAATTGCAAATCTTGCGTGAATTTTGGGATACTCTATATAAACCCCTCCCCAAGCAGCTGCTGGGTCTTGTTCATAGCTGTGTCTCCTCCAGGAGCGTCCCCGCCCGTCACGGGCCCCATGTGAATAGTTCCAGAGCACGGCGCGGGGTAAGCGCACACTGTCCCGTGTGCACGGGGCGAGAGGATGTGGCGAGGAGCAGGTGCAGCCGTGTAGGAGCCGGGAGGACCCTGAGCTCGCTCTCAGCCATCAGGCCCAGCGAGGACGGCGCTGGGGGCATAACCCGAGTGGAGATGAGGGGACAGTGCTGGAAGCTGTGGGGACGGGGGGTTGCCAAAGGGCAGCTTTCAGGGCAAACCCAGCAACGGCTCAGACTCACCACGTTCTGAGGGACAAACACGTTGAGATACAAGCAGTCCTCGCTGACCCCGGACGGGGTGGGCGTCCTGACCCCTGGCTGCCAGCAGCGGGCCCTGCAGATACAGACGGTCTGACTCCCAGGAGAATCAACCGTGGGGACTTGCCCATGTCCCTTCCAGCCCAACACCAGTGGCCAGCGCCCTCTGCCCGCCAGCTCTGCAGCATTTCGGCAGCAATCAGGTCACCGGACCACTGCATGGAGCCGAGCATGGCGGCCCTCCATCCCCAAATGGACTTCATAGGAGCAAGGCCATGTACAGTGGCTGATGTTGGGGAGGGGTTACCTGTTAGAGAACCTAACACCACCTTATCTACACCCCCCCAGCCCCACGCACCACTCAGGCCCACAGGCACCATCCTGCCATCAGTCTGACGCTGATGGATTAGAAGACAGAGTGCTATTGCGCTCAACCCTTACCGCGGCTTGGTGGCAGCCCAGGACCCGGTCCAGTTGGAGGGCTCCGGTGCCCGGAAGCGGCCCTCTGCCAGGGGCGGGGCAGCATAGGGCACTCCCAGGAACTGGTCCACTTGCTTCCACGAAGTGCCCACCTGGATGGCCTGGGACCTGCCCAGCAGCTGGCCGTGGGGGGCGATCGTCACAGAAGGTGCAGACGTCCCAAAGCCGAGCAGAGGGGTGTCTGTGGGCATGGGGAGTGGGGCGGAGGGGGAGAGAGCAGTGGGTACTCTATTCACGGGAATATTCGGACATGCTTGAGAAACAAACGCTGCTTTTTGCGCTTTAAAAATGTCGGTAACTCCTTCAGACCCCACGAGCTTACACGGAGGGAGGTCTGTGCTCAGGTGAGTAAGAGAAATAAGAGCAAAGACAGCTGGTCTTTCCGAGGCGCTTAGCAGGCAGAGCGCAGCTCTAACCCTTCTCTCCCGGGGTCATCACAAGAGGCTAACGTGCCCACAGCCCCTCACTCAGCTCCCTGGGCCAGGCGTGCACTGCAATTCAAAACTGCCAGCCTCTTTAAAGAACCAAAGGACGCAGTCAAGCAATGGGCAGTCTCCCTAGCGGGGTCTGGAGCAGAGCCCGTCCTCAAACATAAGTATTTCTGCGGTAAAAAGCAGGGATGGCTCCTACTAAGAGCAATGAATAAAGAATGTCATTTCTTCAGTCACAAAATCCAGCTCAGATTTTGCCACCGAATGAGTTTGCTGCAAACTTACAAAAAATGTGTGTTCTAACTTGTAGAACTTTCAGATTTCAGAACTGCAGCCAAGGACCGGGGGCCATGTGTGCATTTCAGTGGTGAGGGAACAGGTGTAGGACCCCGGGGTGGGTGCCTGCCTGGGCTTCAAGCTGATGTGGGCTTCAAGGCCTTTCTGAACCCCAACTCTGACCACACTCCATTCACACAGGGCCAAGGGCCAGGTCAGGGCTCCTCTCAGCCCAGCAAGGCCCCCCTCCCACTGTGCATGCCTGAACCCCACCTGGTCTATTAGGTCAAGGCCGTGCCGCCTGCCAGCCGAGCTCTGCGCTCCAAGTAATGCTAATCACCAGACACTGATCAGCCTCTCCAGAGCCCTATCTCATCTCCTCCACTCATGGTCTTCCGTTCACTTATTGATTCAATCAACTGCCAAATGCCATTTCCAGGGACTTGAGACAGGCCTTCTGTGTCTGATTCCCCACAGGGCTTAGGGCCGGGCACAAAACAACGGACAGACACTGGTGAGGAGATCCTCTCTCTGTGTGAGTGTGAGTGTGTGTGTGTGTGTGTGTGTGTGTACAGATTATTGTTTCCGTCAGGTGTGTTTGCTTTGCTCAGCTTCACTGTGAGCTGATGGAGAGAGAAAGCTTTGCTCTTTCCCCTGCAGCTCCTTCTATTTATAATTTAGATGTGATGGTTGCTAGGAGCCTGGGCAGGAGACAGACAGGTCTGTCTATTCCTCAAAAGCTGGCTAAAGGCAGTGGTTCCCCAGAAAGGGGTGTTGCCTCCCAGGGGACATGTGACAGAAGGCTTCTGGCGGCCAGTAGGGTAGAAGCCAGGGAC